CTCCTCCTCCTCCTCCTCCTCCTCTTCTTCTTCTTTTTCAACCTTCACATGAGCCTCCTTCTCATCCTCATCTTTTTACTTTCAAGGCCGAAGACCACCGTTAAAAATCTGAATTCATTTTTGAAAACGTAATGCTCATCTCTCTTTATTCTCGTGCTGTCCCAACTGCAGCTGCTGCTCTCTACAACTGAGGATACATATTTATAGGCCGTCCATTTGAAATATATAAACACTTTTTGCTAATAACTGCTGATACAAAGCACCAATGCATTTCAAATTCTAATACTAAACTGAGAGGTTCTATTTTGTTTTTATAAGCCAAATAACTCGAATTTAGTAAGCCATTCAATCGGAAAGTAGAGTTTTGGTTTTCATTAAAATGCAAATGAATGGTTCGTGTCTGGTTATTAATAAGCAAAACTTCCTCTTCTTTTTCATTTATCTAATTAATTTTCAATTTTAGCTGAGCTACTGGACAAATCTGCCGACAGAGGCTGTGAACCGAACACATAAAAATGGGGGTAAATCAACGATGTTACGTTTATGAATCTCTTTTCCTTTATGGGGTGAGCTTCGCCATAGATATGAGACGGGCCATGGAAGACACTGTTGTTTACTTCAATGAACAAATATTCTTAGAATGAAAGACCGTAGTGACAGTACATTATTTTTAGAACGCGTGCACGCCAGGAAAATTGGATCGTTCCGGGTAGAAGCGCTTTTAGAGATATCCAACTGCACTTAAAAAAGAAGTCGAACTTCATTAGAACTATTTCTAAAACACCGTTTCATTATTTAAATGCACGACCTATAACACTATACATCTACATAGAAACACACGTCCATTTCCATCCCTACCTATCCCTATTCACCTTACCCCATCCTTTACCCCCTCCCCCTCTCTCTCTCTCCCCTCGCCACTGTCCTCACGACAACTTCCTAGCGCCTGGTTGGACCATGCCTGGAGGACTACCCGCCCCCATCCCTATCCGTTATAAAATGGTGGGCAAAAAGATCACAAACGGCACGCAGGAAGACATCAACACAATCTACGACTACTTCAACTTTGAGCTGCTCGACAAGAATCGTTATGAAGAGGAATTTCAAGTAATGTATAGTGCTTAGACTCTCTCTCTCTCTCTCTCTCTCTCTCTCT